GAGACTGCTGTTCGCTGTTGCTACACATCAGCACGCATGGCAGGTAATGGCTCTGTCGAGGACACGAAGTGATAAGGAAAGGAACATAACGTGTGTAAGGTGTGCCGTCACCAGCAAACGATGCGTACCACGAAAACTTGGTGATATTTGATGCACTATCTACTGTACGGCGGTACATATGTCTACATCGGACTCTACAACACTGCTGTGCGACGTTCGGTTCATGTCCCAGATGTTTTCCTGGCGCTCCCATTCGCCACACCTACCCTTTGGCCTTGTATCTCTGAGTCAACAGATCCAATCCAAGGCCATACATTAGGAAGTGCCTCCACATGCTTTCATGCAAGGCGCGATGAAGCTCTACACGATCGCTCGTTACTTCTTACACGCACATGTTCCGAAAGTACTCTATTATAGCTGTAGCAGTCGCGGCGTGCAGTGCAGAATGTTAGAGTAGCCGTACCTCGATCTCAGGGTCCCTGTACATCCAACCAGATGAGTAAGAAGAGCAGCTGGACCCGACGTTCAGGCCTCCTGCTTTGATACCCCCTCTCTTGGCGTGCACGCCATGATGGCGCCCTTGGAAATCAGGCCTGCGTTGCCTTCGAGCTACGGTACGGTCAGCCGCAACCTCTGGCTTGAAGGGGGCAAAACCCACGGCCATTTGGGCAATCTCGATGGATTGATTCCTTCAGGTATCGAACTATTATACTAGCAAGAGCACTGCGCCAACCAGCGCGATGAGTCTTCGGGTACATCGATCGCGTGGTGTGGCATGGTTCATCTCCCATCTTTCATGAGGTGTTGATTTGTTCCCTACTCCCTACATGTGAATTGCGCCGCCGCGGTCTAATTGGTGCCGGTTCGGTGAACACAACACAAACAGATTTGACGGTTTCGCGAAAATGCCACAACGCGGAACGCGGAACCCCGGCGTCTCTGGTTGCAAACCCTTTGGCGCGCGGGTGGGGGGCGCCTTGCACTTTGTATGGATCTACAGACACCTTGCCGTGTGGAGGCAGGAGAAGAAAACCATGCAGCAGCCGACTCTGCCTGCAGATGTTGTCACTCTTCCTGAGACGCTCACCAAGTTCCGGGAGCACGCCCTCAAGGGGAACTACGCCTTGGCCCAAAGATACCACGAGCAGGTAAGGTAGCAGTCTAAACGATTGCCATCTACGGCGGGTACAGTATTGGGCTGAAACTATGTGTGCCCACGAAGGGGTCGTCGCATTTCGACGCTGGTAGATCTCGTGGCGAGCAACTACATTCCTCCAGTATCAAGCCCAGCGGCCTTGCGTGTGGAGGTATTGTACGTCATGATTGCGCTGTCGTGCCGAGAATCGAGCCCCGTTCGGAAAATTAGTCTAAAATTTCTTACCCATGGGGTTTTACAGCAGTAGACCTCATCAACAACTACTGGGAGCTCTTCTTTCGATTATGAGACTTCGGCACTTTGACCTGAAATAAGCAGGGCACGGCTGCGATCGAGAGCCTTGTCGCCGGAATGGGCGGTGACGATTCGAGGCGAGCAAAGTGGACTGGCCTCGCAACTGAATTGGACGCTGAATTAAAGATAGTCAAAGTGAGTGTAACATTGGGCGTGCGTTCGTTACTGTACATCCAAGGGTATAGGTTGCTGAAGGTTTCCTTTGCCTGCGGCTCTCGAACAGACGCTAAGGGTTTACTACGAACGCTCGCCTGCCCACACCAACAGAATTGAGGGCAGCAGGGCTTGCCACACAATCGTAGAGCAAAGTTACTATATTGCGTGTACTGTACAGAAGGGCCTTGTTCATCAGGTGGCATTCGGAGAGCAGAGAAGCAGTAATTCCCCGTGACATGTATTTCCGTTGAGTAATATTTGTATTTTCGAAGTACGTGCCGTCGGTCGCACTTTTCTGTGGATGCCCTTTCTTCGCCAGAAAACCCAACAACACACGACATGCCAATCCAACAACCACAACGCCAACTGCCCTTCATCTTTTGACTTTCTTCAATCAACGTGGCAAGGTGCGAAAGCCCTTATGTGCTTTCATACATATCAACAATCGCCCGGCGACGATAAAAAGGTTTTCCCTGAGGTAGGTGCAAGCTGCTCACGTGTAGCTAGCAACATATAGATATCCTGGAACCCCTGCCTCGCGACGTTTGCTGTTGGTGGCCGCTGCTGATACCTATCCCCTTTCTATTCTACCACAGCCGTACTACACAACATCAGCGATACTGAACAGCCAATACGTGTGCTAGAGGTGGGCTGTTACTCTCTCAAGCACCAAAGACTAGCAATCAGCCGCCCATGACACACCCTTTCTACTTCGAATTCATCCCAATGCAAATTGTTGCATTTGACACGATGTCCAAGAAAATGACCTACCTTCGTTCTTGCAGGACATTGTCAAAGAACTGGCCCGGACTGCGTCCTTGGCTGGGAGCTCTGGCCCCACCGAAGAGCGCCGGTCATCCGGTGGCGTCGCGTTTACGGCGGGAGAGGTGAACGAGCACGTTTCAGGGGTAATATCTACAGCACCTCGGACGAATGAATACGTGTGTTGTATGTAGGTCTATCTGTTGTTGTTCACCGGTCTCAGGTTTCAATACGATTGGAAGCGCCCATACCTGCATGAGCATGTGCTGACACACGCCGTCTGGCGAGCGAAACTCGTGCTGACAGCGCCACAAACGGTTCACGAAGGGACGGCCCCGAAGTGTTTGCTGATTTCTTCCAGCCAGCGACCTATCAATATCTACCAGCAATCACCACCGGAGGTCGGCAGCAACATCAACCCTTCCCGAAGTCTTTTATCACTCAAGAGAACATTCACGCGCCTTTTTCAAGCAATAGTGAGCCTTGCTGGTTTACGCACCAAAATAGGATACCCAAACACGAAACCAGCTGATCGAAGAGGTGTACTTGTATTTCGTAAGCAGGTATTTTCGTTATCGCTTGAAAAAACACTTGGACAGCGTTTGGCGCCGAACGATCACGGTCCAGGCAGAGCGAAACGTACGTACAACGAGTTCAACAACACAAATCCAATATGTCAACACGAAACAATGGCACCCGCTCTGTGATCCACCGAAAAATCCTAGAAAAGCTATTGAACGCCTTCCCGAAAACATCGGCCCTGGACGATGCTATGTAGTTCATACGCCAAAATCAATCTGTGTCGGTATTTCTTACGTGTTCCTCGTCGAGATTCTCTTTCCTGACAACGCACCAATGATGCCGGAAAATTCCATTCAACCAGCCGGGTGACCTTGCGGTTCGAGTCAGCAGCCGTTTGGCATACAACCAACACCTACAACACCACGGCCGGGGATCCATCATCGACGGCCACAACCGCCCAAATAATGGTGGTGCCGTGGACCGACTAGACCTTGGTTTGGGATCTCTCGCGATTGATCCTGATGGTCCGGTAGCAACGGATGACCCAGACGTTTGGCCGCCACCGACTCCGGATCCTTCCCGCGGCGGGGCGGTGCTACATCAAGGTGCCACTTGTTGGAAGTATTTTCTTGCTCGCATTTCGCTTGTTAGTCTCCAACCGAACATCTGGCTCATTGTTGTCACACCCCTTTCTTGTTTTTCATAGTCGACGAGACATAATATAACATTGTCTGAGAGCACACCGTCGTTTCTAACCCAAGGCGTAAACGACAAACAGCGTGAAAACTGTCAGATGCTGTGTCCAGATGCAAAATATGTACATATGTGTACGCAGAACCGGTCGCCTCGGTGGTGGTGGTGGAAACCTCGAAACCGCTAGTGGGAAAGTCGTTAGTTCGAATCCCCATGGGGTGAAAATATTCAATCGCGAAGGTGCACATCACGGCGGCAAGGGTAATAGGGCAACGAGGGGAACGCTCATTTGTGTTTTCGACCTTTCTGCAGACAACCTAATCGGAACTACTTTTACGTAGCCACAACAAGGGGTGAGAGATTTCTACAGATGAGAAATAACAAATCAAACCGTGAGGAATCCCGGAACTTGTCGCATATTCTCGTGGGCCACGTTGATTCCCGCCGCAGCGGCAGCGGCTGCCGGCGGTGGCCCAGGCTCGGGCCTATCCTCAGGGCCACGATTTGGCGGCGGGGTTGCGTCGTCAAAGTTGGTGCGGAGAGAAGTCGCCGCGGCTGCCCTGGCATCGGATAAGGCGCGACAACAGCTGCCCGCCTGGGCGAGAGCCGCCACGCCGGGGGCCGGCAACGGCTCCCGTGCTGGCTCCGGAAGGGAAAAGAGGGGCATCGGCGGCGGCGGCGGCGGCGGTACGGGCATAGGTGGTGGATTACCTCGAAAAGATTCCGTCGTGCGAGGACGGATGGTGATCGGTGGGGCAGGGGGGGCGGGGGGAGGAGGAGGGGGGCAGATGGGCAATCGACNGGGGGGGGGGGGGGGGGGGGGGGGGGGGGGGGGGGGGGGGGGGGCAGATGGGCAATCGACGGAATAGCAGGGGTGAGTCTGATGAGGAAAACTCTCCAACGGGTCATGTGATGTCGTTGACACGAAGGACCCGAGTTTGAGTACAGTAAGGCCGAAACGTATAGGTAGGCCAACAGGGGCAAGGATTGGTCATCGGGGGGGAGGAACCGCACATATTGTGCTGTCGATCCGCTGCTGGCGTGATCATTGAGAGCCGCTTGCCCAGATTTTGCGTTGGTCACGTGAGAAACAATGGGACTTTCATACTGTAGTACCAGTACGGTCCACAACACACGCTGGAGACTTGGAAAGCTTTGAGTTGTTGGTAATGTTTAGTGAGGCTCCGGTGACGATGTGTTTCGCGGCCGCCGCGAGTCATGACTGTTTCTGACACCGGGTCGTGCTCGCTCGGACATTGGATATTGTTGTGCCCACAACACGAAAACGGGAACGGTTTTGGTGCACGATACGGCAAGAGATTTGATGCAATGCTATTGCACGAACCTTATGAGCCATGTATCTTCCCGCCCCAACTACGACGTCTTGCGACCGCAGATCAAGTAAAGGTGGACCCCAATGCACGCCGAGAATCGAAGGACACGGTGGCAGCAGGAGCGGGGCCACGTCGGAGGAGGTCAAGCTTTGGTGGCGGGGTCGGAGGTAAGGACTCCTACTAGCATCTCTCCCCCCTCCCTGGAATCATACCCTTATCGCGGGACAATTTGCTCGAGGAGGTTAAGAGGCAGAATCTGGTCGACCTGCTCGGAATGAGCGTAAGGAGGCAGTGCGTGGAAACTGACTCGCAGTGAAGCGGGACTACGTAGGACGAAGGGTGGCTTCAAAGGTCGCCAATCCAGGAGCATACCACACCAGAAACAGCGGTTACTGCATGCCAGTGATTAACGTCTGTGACCAGCTTGTGAATACCATCTTTTGGTGGCAATACGTGTTGTTATTGTTGCTGTTGTTGTTGTTGTTGTTGTTGTTGTTTTCTTCACACAAAACTCGTGTCAGTTGCCAATCCCAAAATCTAGCAAAGACTTGGTCCGTGGTCACAAAAATGCCAGAGCCATCAGAAGATCTAAAGAACACACACACTCTTAGCAAGAAAAGGGTAGACAAGCCCGAGGAGGTACACCTACAATCCCTGCAGCACGTTTGCGTGCTCACAACTGAACTACACGCCCACACACTACAATTCGACTACAGCAGCAGCAGCATCACCCCCCCTCCTTGTCCCGCATTTAACCAAAATGAATGTTTGTCGACTACAGCGTACTGCTGTCTGAAGTGCTGTCTGTACAATAATAACACCATGGTGCATGGTACACAAGCTCGGGGCATGCAGCTGCTGTCTGAAGTGCTGTCAGAATGAGTCCGTGGAAATGCAATGAAGAAAAACACCCAACCAAAGCCATTATTGCAGTTGACGTTCACCCGAATCTATCCATATCATCTGTGTTAGGCACAGCAGTGTAAACATCGACACTGACTTGGAATCATTCCACATCGAAGGGGTCTTCCAAGATGCAGGTACACAATTAAGGCACCCGGGTTATCCGCGCCATCTCTGCCGCGTCTCTCTACAAAACCAGTGACATCATCACACACACTCAACACCAATATTCAGGAAAAAAAACGAAAATAATTTGACAACACAAGAGATGTGTGGAAGATGTTCGTATTCGGCCGAACTTTGCAAGCCTAAGGTCAACGCTAATAAGGTGGGGACGCCCAGCAACTTGAGCTTTCATTGCCCAGTTCATCGTACCCGTTTTGAACGGTCGTGCTTTTGGTTGGAACCTTTACTTGCTGTACGTTGCTCGGAATTCCTACCAGCATGATACTGTAGATGTCCTCAGTTCCACGAGAGCAACAATTTTCTCGGACGGAATATGTTTAGACTGAAAACATCTCTCCCGGCCTGATGTCGCGAACTATCACACACTTCACGTTCTCCACCGTGGCACACCATAAAGCCTTTGCAAAAACAAATTGCGCTTCTCGCCCTCGCTCGACAGGTGTTGCAGCAGGCGGGGCTGAGAGCCGAGTCGCCGGCGGCGTTGACCCGGCACGGGTGGCGGGCGGAGGCAGTAGGCGGCAGCAGCAGCAGCAGCACGGGGCTGGTACATTGGCTCCTACGTCGGCTGGGCGGGCGGAGGGTCGGGAAGGGAGGAGGGGGTGGGCACCGGAGGCAAAGCGTCAGGGAAGCCCGCCGGCTGGTAAGGATACAGAAAGCATTCTCTCCCTGAAAACATCCTGTTTATATTGTTGTTGTTGTTGTTGTTGTTGCTGTTGTTGTTGTTGTTGTTGTTGTTGTTGTTTCTCACATTAGCTCTATAGTCCACGAAAAATAGGGAACCCGTGGTCTCGAAACCCGGCACATACGACGCCGCGGGGAAACCAAACAAAAATAGGGTATAAACCACTCGAACAAAGAAAACAATATGATAGAAAGAAAATAACAGGTACCGCACCGACCGTTCGAGAAAAGTGCCCTCGGAAACCGATCAAAATAAAACAAAAACAAAAATAATGGAAGACGCTTCCCACACCCGCCTAAAGAAAAAATCAAAGGGTAACGTACCAGCACCAGGCACTACGCACCAGGGCATGAGAGTAAGGGAGCAAACAGGTCAAAGAGGCGACAGATGGGCAGACAGCCAGATGTACAAAAACAAAAGCAACAGCAAAAGCGAGATCAAGGTACCCAACATAGCAGAGTAGGCATGGAGGACATGACAAAAAGAAACACAGAACAGAGGCCGAAGGCAATACAAAGGACATACATAAAGGAGTATAGCATACAGCAGGGAGGGAAACAGGGCGCAACAACATCAGCCGGGTACATAGTTCGCCACGAGATTTTTTTCTCAGTAAATAAATCCTGGTCTAGGATGAAAGCGACGCGTTGCAAAGCTCGTTGTTAGTAAACCATAATCGACATCTTAAGTCGCGAGGGAAGGGATTGCTGTACCCTTCTCGCGATAAAAGTGTCTCAGGCAGGAACCGCAGGAGGGGGTCCAGCCCCCCCCTCCTATGTGACCCCGGTGGGTTGTCTAGCAAGCAGACGTGGAGGATAGGGGCCAGAGGGGCAGACGACAGAATCCGATGAAGGGAGGAAAAAAAAAAAACATCGCCACAAGTGCTGCCTCGGCCGCCCTACTCGCTTCTACAGCAGTGCCCGGTTGCCTTTTCTTCCCCCCCNTGAAAGCGACGCGTTGCAAAGCTCGTTGTTAGTAAACCATAATCGACATCTTAAGTCGCGAGGGAAGGGATTGCTGTACCCTTCTCGCGATAAAAGTGTCTCAGGCAGGAACCGCAGGAGGGGGTCCAGCCCCCCCCTCCTATGTGACCCCGGTGGGTTGTCTAGCAAGCAGACGTGGAGGATAGGGGCCAGAGGGGCAGACGACAGAATCCGATGAAGGGAGGAAAAAAAAAAAACATCGCCACAAGTGCTGCCTCGGCCGCCCTACTCGCTTCTACAGCAGTGCCCGGTTGCCTTTTCTTCCCCCCCATCGCCGCTTCCCCGACTCTCTTTCTCTTCGGTCCTGAGATGGCCGTACTCTCTGCTTCTGCTTCCCTCGCGCGCTGGCGTTTCGCGGACGCTTCCGCCTCCTGCCTGTGCCATTTCCTCATGAGCCATGCCGCCCCGTCCTCGACCTTGTTGTACCACGCCTCCGGGTCCTTGAAGCTCTCTTTCCATTTCCCGCCTTTTTTTTTTCGTCTCCCATGTTGAAGGCCACGAGGTCCTCTCCTAGACGAGGCACCCAGTCGCTCTCCTGCCCGCCCCGGTATCCCACGCCCCCCGCCATCGCTCCTAACAGCATGCGCTTGGGGAGGCGGTTGTCCTCCATGCGCATAACAAAGCCCGCGAAACACAGTCTCCGTTTGCGCACGGTGGCCTCGATGGTTTCCTCGCAGCCTGCCTGGATGAGGGCCTGGGCATAGGACAGGGGGCGGTCTGAGNAACCTGGAATGTGCAGGCTTTGGCTGTAAACGGGGCCAATGGATACGGGCGAGCTTACAGCGTTCTACACGAGGCAGCGAGACAAGACGTATCGGTGGTAGGAATGCAGGAGACACGGAGGGTAGGTCGAACGGAATATGCAGCAAGCAGCGGGTTTCCGGGTGTTCTGCTGTGGCACGGAGACTGGTGGAGTCCATGGTGTGGGGGTAGCCGTCAAAGAGTCACTGTGCAAGACATCCACGTTCACTACGGACTTTATTGACGAACGCCTTATGGCCATGAGGTTTCTGTTGGCAGGCCACCGTGGAGCGGTCAATTTCGTAGCCGCTTATGCTCCAACCGAACCTTCACCGCCGACAGCAAGCGCGTGTTCTGGGGAAAACTTGCCAGTCTCGTGCGGAGGATCCCTTCCAAAGAATGTGTGTATGTCCTACTGGATGCCAACGCGCGGACGGGCTATAGGTTGGACGGAGGGGACGGAGTGTAATAGGAATGTACGGGGGGGATGAGCTCAACGACAATGGCATTCTACGGTTGAACTTTCCAACGGAAAACAGGCTAGCTCTCACGAACACGTTCTTTGAGACACGCAAGGGCGGAATATGGCGCACACACAACGGTGTGTCGGGAAAAGATTGCAAGCGCCTTGACTAGATCCTGACAAGGCAGGCATATCACGACCGAGTATCTAACGTGGTCGTCATCCCCCAGCCGGTTCACCCAGTCAAAGCAGACTCAGACCACAATATGGTAGTAGCCACCGTCAACCTCGGTGGCAGGCTTGCCCACAACCGTGCAGTCCGGACTAAACCGAAACAGAAGCAATTCAACCGACGGGAATTGCAGTTCGAAGCAGCACGGTGTGCGGCGACTAATCGGTTCCTCCTTAATCTCAACACACGAGTGGACGAGCGAACAACCACCGCTGCGGAATTGGCGACCGACTTTACCAATGCTCTCCTCGACACAGCGCGGACGACCCTGGGGAAGGAACCGCGGAGACGCCGCACGCAGGAGTGGTGTGAGACCCCAGAGACGCGAGAAGCGCTGGAGCAGGCCCTTACCAAACGTCGGGAAGCGCGCCGGGCGATGAGGGGCAACTGGAACTCAGCGACGTGGAGTGTTCTCAAAGCAGCGTGTAAGGGAGTGGCTACAGCAGTCGAAACAGGCATTTATGCCCACCTGGACGGATATGTGACTGAACTCGAAAAAATCTACAAAGATCGCGACATGCTAGGACTGTGCCAACACCTCAAGAGATCAGTGGGCCTCAGCGGGAGACAAGCGGGGGGACAGCAGTTCGTCGCGGATGAGAACGGCGTGTTGCTCCGGAACAGGGACGACATCCTCCAGCGGTGGGCGAGATTCTTCAGCACCCTACTCAACACCAAATCCCCCACCCTGAACCCACACATAATCGAACGAGTGACGCAGCGGCCAGCGACACGTGACACTCAACGGTTGGGAGATGTGCCAGAACTCGAGGAGGTGGCACGGGCAACGAAAGGCCTCAAGAACTGGAAGGCACCCGGCCATGACTCCCTCCCTGCCGAGTTGCTCAAGATCGATGACGACGAACCCTTCGTCCTGGGACACCTCCATACCATCCTCGTCAAGGTGTGGAACGGAGGAGATATTCCGCGAGAGTGGAAGGATGCAACCATCAAGGTGCTGTACAAGAACGGTGACCGGTCCAACTGTAACAACTACAGGGGGATTTCGCTACTATCTCACGTAGGCAAGGTCCCCATCAAGATCATCACTAACCGTCTAAGCGCCTTCAACGAAGCCAACAACATCCTCCCGGAGGAACAGTGCGGATTTCGACCCGGGCGATCCACCGTCGACATGCTGTTCGTCGTGCGCCGCCTCCAGGAGCTGGGGCGGAGAAAGAAAATACCGCTCTACATGTGCTTCGTCGACTTGAACAAGGCGTATGATTCGGTGGACCGAGAGATGCTATGGAAGGTGCTGGCCAGGGCCGGGATTCCCGCGAAGCTGATCGAAGTCATCCGCCAATTCCACGATGGAATGCGGGCCCGGGTGCGCATGGACGACGGAGAACTATCGGACTGGTTATTCGTGACACAGGGCGTGCGACAAGGATGTGTGCTATCCCCACTGCTGTTCAACATCTTCTTCGCCGAGGTCCTCGAGGTCGTTGTCATCCGATTCAGCGAGGATGATGTTGTTCTGCGGAGCCTGGTTTGCTTGAAGGAGGGGAAGACGGAAGCAGGGGGGGGGGGAAGAGACACCCCTTGACCGAGTACGGAGGGCAGTATGGGGGATG